ATATATATCCAAATTAAAAAGGCCCACTGAGGACTTCCTGGTGGTGCAGTGGTTAAGAATCCCTCTGCCAATGCAGGGGACACGGGTTCCAGCCCTGGTCTGGGACGATCCCACATGCTGCAGAGCAACTAAGCCCGTGCGCCACAACTACTGAGCCTGTGCTCTAGAGCCTGTGTGCCACAACTACTGAAGCCTGCGAGCCTAGAGCCCATGCTCTGCAACAAGAGAAGCCACCGCAGTGAGAAGCCCGAGCACCACAACGAAGAGTAGCCCCCACTCACCACAACTAGAGAAAGCCCGCACACAGCAATGAAGACCCAATGCAGCCAAAAATAAATTAAATAAATAAATTTATTTTTCAAAAAAAAGTAGAATGGTGATTACCAGGGGCTTTGGGGGAGTGGCAGGGGAAGGCTAGTTATTTTTTAACGGGTATAGAGTTTGAGATTTGCAAGATAAAAAAGTTCTAGAGATCTGTTTCACAACAATGTGAATAAACTTAACACTACTAAACTATACACTTAAAAATGGTTAAGATGGTAAATTTTATGTTACTTTTTTTTACCACAATTAAAAAAAAAAGACTAACGGGTCATGTCAGAAAACACATGAGCCCGCTTGAAGGATTTCTCATTGGTCAAAACTGGGACAAATTGAGCATCAAAAAGAATACTGACTATAATTGATTAGAAGACATTGATTTTTTTTAATTCATGAGATAATAGTGACACTAAAAAAAAAATTGAAATCTTCATACAAGTATGCTAGCTAGTACTTGTAGAAGAAACGATATATTTAGAAAACAAACATTTTCTATGCAACTCTGTGTAGTAGCTGATTCCAGCAGAGATCACCAATGAATGCTCAAACCATTAGGTGAACAATTGTTGTGGAACAGGATATTCAAATGGTACCAAGGAATCACCCCACAGATGACTTACTAATTACAAAGGGGAAAATGTACCTTAGAATGGAAAGATATGGCAGTTAACACTTTAACAAAGTGATCAAACTTAGCATCACTATTAGTAGAACAATCTGTCATTAGGTGGTGCCTCCTTATCTGATATGGGATGAACACACAATGGTACCTATGAATTATTCCAGCTTATTTTAAACGCTTAGTCTGAATCTAATCCCTCCTCTAGACCCAACTTCCAGTTTACAGGAAATATAGGGGATGGAGGAACAAGTTAAACAACGCCACGAGGAAACAATCAGACGCAATTCAGAAGGTGGGACAAACTACAAACCAAGTGACCTAGATTAAGAGAGACTAAAGAGACAATAACTAAACACATGAACCTTGATTAGATCTTGTTTGAACAATTTACAAGAAGACATTTTTGGGAAAACAGGGGAAACTGGAATATGGACTAGATATTAGATAATTTTAAGAAATTATGATTAAATATAAATTGCCAAGAAACATGTGAAAAATGTTTAACCTCATTAATTATTAAAAAAAATGTTAAAATTTACCTGTCAAATTGGTGACAAAAATTAATACAATTTTTTTGGGCAGGACAATCTGGTAACGTGTAATGAAAGTTTTAAAAATGTTTATATACTTTACCCAGCAATTCCACTTCTAGGCACTCATCCTATAGAAATAAGAGTTGTACATAAACATTTATGAACCAGAATGTTCACTGCAGCATTACTAATGAAAATGGACATAAGCTAATTATCAAGATGGAATAATAAATGATACTTCATAATCATTAAAAAATCTTAATTTGAGATATTTAACATGGAAAGGTCCCTAATACATTAAGTAAATGGAAAAGAGTAGTTATATTTTGGGATCTTAGAGGGCAGAACTAGGAACTACCATTGGAAATTATAAGGAAGCACAGTTTGGCTCAATGTAAGGACTAATTTTCTAACAATTAGAATTTTCTGAAAAGAATCTAAAAAAGAATGAACATATGTGTATGTATAAGTGAATCACTTTGCTGTACACCTGAAACTAATACAACATTGTAAATCAACTATACTGTAATTAAAAAAAAAAAAGAATTTTCTAAGCAATGAATGGCCTGCTTCATGAGGTGATGAGTTCTGCACTATTAGACTCTAAGCAAAGGCTGAAGGGTCACTTGGCAAAGATAATACAGAACAGATTTATATGTTAGGAGATTAAGGAGATCTTAATGGTCCTTTCCTACTCTAAGAATTTATAATCCCATATAAAGTTATCCATTAGCTGGGATGTCAGAAAGGAAGTGGTTGGTATTTCTTTATAAATGCTATTAAAGACCCATGTGGCACTAAACTAAAAAGAGATTATACCTATATTACAATAATAGAGTTGAAGAATGATTTACATTATTCTATTCTGTTATCAATAATATATACATTATTGATAAAGTAAAAGAAGATGATTGATTAACCTAATGGAGAGGATTCAAATTGAATTGATAGGAACTAATTTTGAACCTGCCCCCTATTAATTTCTCTGTGTCTAATAAGGAACCTGAAGTGAAATAGTGAAATAGCACTAAACATCTCAAAGAAGAAGGGCAGGAGACGCTCTGCTCCTTCTTTTTGCTTCTAGCTGCCCAGTAATTCATACATAAAGAGAGGAGAGAAAGAATATGCCCACACCCCCCCTGCAATATGGTTTATAAAATCTTTAAATGTTGGATGTATGACTATTAGGCAGTGGAAAGTGACACAGCATTTAGTATCACATTCGGTTCCTGAAAGGCAGAAGCAAGCACTGGAGGCCTATGAAGGTTTTAGAGTAACTGGTAATGTTGAAAATTCTTAGATGTAAAAAAGAAATCCCCCAAAAGATGCACTTAAAAAACCAACCAAACAAACAAACAAAAACCAACCTTTTATTATGGAAAATTTCAAATATACACAAAAGTAGAGAATAGTATAATAAGCCTCCCCCCCTCCAATCACTCAGCTTCATTTATCAACATTTTTGTAAGGCTGTTTTCTCTAATCTTTCAGGTTGAGTTTTTTCATTTTGTTTTGTTTTTAGATTTAAAAGCAAACACCTGACATCACACTATTACCTATAAAAACTTCAGTATGAGAAGATACACTTCCTTGCTAATAATACTAAATATTTAATAAATGTTAGTTGCTATGGCTAGGTACTGTTCTATGCATTATACTACTACTTTCACGTATAATTTTTCCATAAACTAAGCCTCATTGTTATCTCCATTTTATAAATGAGAAAACTGAGTTTTTACTGGCTTAAGGTCACAAAGCCAGTAAGCAGTGGTGCAAGGATATGAACCCAGAAGTTAACTCTAGCCCAGACTTTGTTTTCCCGACCACTAAAGCACGCTGACTTTTCTCTATTCTAGTTATTCTAGCTGTTCCTTATGGCATATAGATTGTTGTGATAAAGTGGAAGAGGGACTGCTGAATGAGGAAGAGACTGGAAAAGATGCAATAATATGAGCAGCTGCTCACTGCTCTTCTTGTGAAATTTTCTTTTCTAAATGCCCCAAATGAGAAAGAAAAATGTGATTGGATATCGTCATTGTCAACTGCCTAGGATACAAAAGAAAGTAAGTCACCTCATAGAGGGAAAGCAATGATCAAGTCTCTTCCACAGAGGTTGAATATAGACGAACTTCTTTTAATTTGCCCCTCTAGTGACAGCGAGGGGTGGGAGTGGGGATGTCTCTAGTTCCACAAGTCCTTGAGTTCAAGCAAAGTGATCTCACACGTAAGGCCAAGTAATCAGTATGAGCAGTATTTGACTGCTTAATGAAATCTCTGGGTAAAAAATAAAAGGACCCCGGAATATAAAATTCTTCTGGCTGATGTCTCAGAGTTCTAAACCTTTCACTCACAGCCTTATAAAAAGAAAAAAAAACTACTAAGTAATTCAAGATTTGTCAAAGAAAGGGGAGTTCTCCTTTGATCTTCAGCCAAAAATTCTTCTAAAACCCTCCCTACTGATTTACAATAGATCTTAGAGTAACTGAACTACATCATCTTCTCTGTGGAGCCTACCAAGGGCAACCTCCTTCCCCATCTTCCGCTCTGCCCAAGCACAAACAGAAGGGCTCCTTCCCTGCTCCTACTGCATTTTATACATAATTCTACTAGAGCACTAATCAATACTGCAGTGTAATTATCTTTTCCTCTCTGGATTATCAATTCCCAGAGGTCTGAGACCCTATCTTAGTCTTTACATTTCCAATCCCTAATCTTCAAACTGAGCACCACTGAAAGTACTCAAGAAAGGTGTGCTGAATGAATAGAGAAAAAAGCTAAAGATGATAGAATATGCAGTGATCTTTATAAGAAGGAACTGTTTTACCAGTATTTTCTAATATCTACACCTTCAGTACAGTTCACAAGCTTCACTTTAGGAATTTCCCCATCAGCCAATAGTTTAGGATGAATGAATGAAAACATGGACTATAGTCTCTTGAGGGCTGGAGAAAGAATTCAGCCGTTTTGGTTTGCAACAGCTTTTAATGAACTAGGGAGAACTCAGACTGAAGGATCTGGAAGATAGTCAAAGCCTTTCAAGAGCTTTTATTCAGATGCCAAGATGCAAGATGGTATTTGAAATGCCTGCTTTTTACATTTAAATGCTGAAGGCAACAGGGAAAATAATTCCAAATAAAAAACCAATGATTACCAAGCAGTGCCTGGTCGTCCACTACTAATTTTTATTTTTTATTATTTTTTTTCTACTAATTTTTAGTAGAAAAATCCGAAGCAAAAAAATCCCTAGCAAAAAAGGTCTGGTTACAGCCCTCAGCCATGGGGGAGACACTTTTCATGTACTGGTATGAGTCTCCTTGGACCCCTCTCTAATACTGGTTAGCCAAACCACTTTGAGGATTATCTGGTTAGGCAATCCCTTGAAGTAAAAATCTTTGGAAAAGAAGTTATCTTTCTCACCAATTTACAAAAATTCAAGACAATCTCTCAGTTTAAGCTATATTACACTGGAAAAAAAAAAAGTCTCATCACATTTTTTATATGCCATTCTTTGATTACTGTGTTACCTTGGTTAGAGTCCACTGGGTCTTCTATATGAGCAATGACATTCCTGAGATAACTTTGCTTCTGCTTTTCTAGATCTGATGGTGAAAACGTCGGAATATTAGTCCTTGAACAAAGCAAACCAGGAGGAAAAACAATCAGTTAGAACCATGAATATAGTGCTTTGTACAGAGAAGACATATACAGCTGATGGATTAGAACAACTAACCCTCAAAACACTCTCTAAGATCCAATGACAAAAGACAGTGTTAGTCGCGTAATATGAAGCTGCAACCAAGTATGGAGTTGAGAGAAAAAAAATAGATATAACCTCCTGTTAACAAGGCATAGGGACTTCCTTGGTGGTGCAGTGGTTAAGAATCTGCTTGCCAGTGCAGGGGACAGGGGTTTAAGCCCTGGTCTGGGAAGATCCCGCATGCCGCAGTGCAACTAAGACCGTGCGCCACAACTACTGAGCCCACGTGCCACAACTACTGAAGCCCGCGCGCCTAGAGCCCGAGCTCCGCAACAAGAGAAGCCACCCCAATGAGAAGCCCATGCACCGCAACAATGAATAGCCCCCACTCGCTACAACTAGAGAAATCCCGCGCACGGCAACGAAGACCCAACGCAGCCAAAAATAAATAAATAATTAATTAAAAAACCAAAACAAGGCATAGCAAAGCAAAGACTGCCTACTCCATAGAGACAGAAAGCATTTGTTGAGTAATTCAAGGTTAGTCAGGAAATAGTTAACTTCATAGAGCCACAGAAAAACTGAATAAGATAAAGACCAAAAAGAACCAGCTGGATCTGGCAATTAAAACATTGGTGACCTTGGCAAGAACAATTTCTGGCCCTCACTCATGCTGATTACACTGTACTAAGGAGTCTGTGGATGAGATAGTGAGCAGTATTACTGCTCCAAGTAGCCTTAATTTCCACTGTATACAATTCACAAAGTTCCTTCAAGTCACCAAAGCAAAACAAGAAAAAAACCCCAGAAAACTGGGATTAGGGGTGGTAGGAATAAATTTAGTATCTGTGTAATCAAAAATTTTAAAAGAATCTCGTTGTAAGGAAGCCAATCTGAGTCAACCTAAAAAAACAGCTTTGCTAATTGAAAAGGCCCATGTAGAGATACTGCCATCTCCTGGCAACAAGAGAACAGATTGAAAAGGTGACCCAGATCTGCAAACTCTATAAAATTTTCTCCCCAAGGACAGTTATATGCAAGTTGGGAGAGATGGCTAAATGATTTTCTACATAGTTATATCTTAACATTTTTGTAAAAATTATTCTAACTTCCTATATCTGTGACCAAGTTTCTCCACACGCAGGGAAAGAAATCTTACATTTATACAGTGCTTTCACTAATATGTCTTTTTTTCTCTTCAAAATAACCCTGTGAGGCAGCAGGGAAGGCATCATTAGCCTCATTTTATTGACAAAGAAACCAAGGTCAGAGAATATTTGACTTGTTCAAGGTCACACAGTCATTGGTAGTCCCAGAACTTCAAGTATGCTTACTTCTGGTGCAGGGCTTTTTCCCCACACTAAGGAGAAACTCAGGAGAGGAAGAAAGCAAATGAAGAGAACCAACAGAAACCAGAATACTTCACTATACCATTACCTTGTTTTGGTTTGCAGAACAGGAATGACTTTGCCTAGTCTTTTTTCATGGATCTTCAGCTTCCCAGAATCCTTGTCAAGAACATCCTGCGTTTTTTCAGAGCAGAAAGAAGAAGCAAAGATGGCCCTTAGTTATAACAAAACATCATTTATGGAAATATTCTTGAACTAATGGCTACATAGGCATACTCGTGAACCCTAGTGTGTACTGGGCACTAAGGGAGGTGCTTTAAATGAGATAATGACAGTACTCTAAAGAAAAAAAAAAAAAAAACCCTAAGCGGTATGGACTGTTACACCCATTTGACAGATAGGGAATCAGGTTCAAAGAGGTTAGGTAAATTGTCCAAGATTTTTCAGCTCTTCAGTGGCTGACTCAGAGCTGTTTTATCTAATATATACAGCGTGGCAACCAAAGATTGAGGCTTAGGCTGAAACCCAAAGAAAGGAGAAATAATAAAATCATCATCATCTTAGTCTATTCAGTAAATGGTTAATTTAGTACTATGTACCAGTTACTGTCAATAAATTATTTAATTAATCTTTACTATACTGTAAAGTATCATTTACTCCAATTTATAAATAAGAAATTGTGAGGACAGAGAAGCTAAATAATTTGCCCAGGGTCACAGTGCTAGTCAGGATTCAAACCCCAATTTATTTGAATACAAAGCTCTGCTATACAGCTTCTGAATGAAAATAATTTCATTCTGCTCTTCACCTTGAAAAATATACTTACTTTGTTTGATGAACTGGAAACAACCGGAAATCTCATTTCAAAACTTGATTTATGTGATCCATTTCTCCAGGCTGACCCTGTATTAGGAGTTTCTGAATGGTCCAAGATCTGAGAGAATACAGGTGTAGGTTTCTTACTGTCAGACATATTTTTATCAGAGACAGTTTGTTGAAAGTTACTGTTTGAAAAAGGGAGTGGGGACCCATCATAGGCAGAGTTACTGAGGCTGATCCCTTCAGATTCTGTGCAAATTGTGCTCTCATTTAGGCTAAGACCATCTTCTCTCATCTCTTCTCCAAGGGAGGAGGGTTTTTCAGTAACTTTGGATGTATCAGTCTTGTCCTTATCAAGTACAACATTACAAACTGTTGGATCAAATGGTGCAACTGTAACTTTTATAAGATTCTTTTCTAGTGCAAAGCGTCTGTTCAATGGTTTAGGAGGAGTTGGTCCATGACCAACTGATGTATTTAGTTGAGGTAGTTTGAAGAGGCTAGTGGTCTCAGCTTCTGGTCCCAAGCTGTACAATGAATTTTTCTCTTGGGGAGTATCAAGTGGAATTTGACTCCCTTTCCCTCCCTTCTCAACATTCCTGCTGTCATGGTTAGGCAAGCCTCCTCCCCAAGAAAAGTGCTCATTTGATAGGTCATCATCCTTCAAGAGTTCCTGAATCTCTTCCTCCGTGAAACTGAAATGGCCATCATCTTCCCCATCAGACAGCTCCAGCAAGGAGTCATCCAATCCGTCCTCATCCAAGGAATCCCAAGAAAATGGGGCATTGTCTTTAGGCAAAAGAGAGGTACCAGAAGACTGTTCAGAGGGCACTAGTGAGCACGGCATATCTGGAGAAATAAAAGGCAGTTTCGCTGAGGAACAGGAAATACCCTTATATCAATTCCAATCTGCTCTAGAGAGTGGTGGTGTCTTAGTATTTCAAATTCTTTGCACTATGACTTGTAACATGAGAAAGTTTTAAGATATTTAAGCTTACCAGAATCATGGAAATATATATCAGAACAATGAGATACTTTTTTTCCTATCAAAATGGCAAAAATTAAGATGACACAGTAATCTAGTTTGGTGAGAATGTGAGAAACAAGGATCCTCACACACTATCAGTGACAGTATAAGTCAGTACAATATTTTGTGGAGAGAAATTTGGCAACAGCATTTGACCCAGCAATTTCACTTCTGGAAATTTATCTTGCAGAAGTACCTGTACAAAGGCACACAGATACATTTACAAAGATGTTCAAAGCAGCATTATTCAAAACATCCAAGTATTGGAAACAACCTGAATGTCCATCACCAGAACTGTTCAGTAAAATCATGGTACACTCATGTTATAGAATACTTTACAATTATTTAAAAACACAATGAAGTGGATCTGTATATACTTTACAATTATTTAAAAACACAATGAAGTGGATCTGTATATACTATCATGGAATAATATCTATAACATACAAACAAAATAAATATGTATGTAAAATGTTTGGATTTTCACAGTTTACACTTTTTAGAAAGCAAACATGTATTACTTCTGAAAATGAAAAACAAAAAAAACTTTAAGCATACAATAAGATAAAGAATTGTCTTTCATACTGTGTGGAGCTGCTGGTGTGATCTCTGCCTTTGCCACGAGACCAAATGGAAAAAGGGTTCAGCTCCTGCTAGCTGTTCTTTTCAGGAGACTTGTCAAAATGATTGACTCCCACCTTCCTGCAGGCACAAAGAAAATTAGAGGATCTTCTCATCACTTTCAACTCTGCTAATTACAAAGTCAACTGCATTATGCTTTAAGGTGCTCCATCTATTAATTTTGATCTTGATTTTTTTTAAATACCACAAAGTTGGATTTCGAGTCAAGAACATCAAAGAAAAACCTTTAGAGGAAAAATTATGCAACTAAGGAACTAATTTTCCTCCTCCCAACAATACTTTCTTAAGAATATCATTTGCTCTAGTAAGATGAGTACTGTCTTGAGTCCAAAGACCTGGGTTGTTGTCCTGGTTCTGTCAATAACCAGCTGTGATAATTTGGGCAAGCCACTTAACCAGGGACTTGTTTCCTCATTTACAAAATAGGGAAGGGATGGAGAACAGGGATTAGGTGATGTCTAAGATTCCCCCAAGATCTAAAAGTTATTATTATGACCATACATATAAAAGCTATAATTATGACCATACATAATACATACGATATATGTATTATGACCATACATATATACATATATAATTATGACCATACATTTCCAATACATATATAAACACAAAGAACAGGTCTGGAAAAATACAATGCAAAATTGATGACTGTCATAACCTGCGGGGGAATCCTGAGAGGACAAGGGGAGACTTTAGTATTTTACTTTTTTACTTGAATATTTATATATTACTTGTATAATTAAAACCTAGTTCTTAAATAGCTAATGACGGACCTAATCTCTAATTATTTTCTAGATGGCAAAGGTGATAGAAAGCTGATATTTACATATCACATGTCAACAGCTAAGAAGCTATAAGAAACACTTAATCACCAAACTCAATAATTTGGAAAATTCTTGTAGCCTTTTAACTGTGAATTCTCCCCCACCTCACTTCCCTCCCTGAATTTTAGTTTTGGTTCATGCACTCTTTCAGGAAACATTTTCTGAGCTACTATCCTCACACAGCACTGAGCTAGATAATTTGTCTCTATACGTTTTCTAAGAAATAAAGATATGATTTCCACCCTCAAGGAATGTATAATCTTCCTACAGAGACAACACTGAAAGTTACGTACCAATATGAGAAAATACAAAATGCTATGGACAATAAAGTACTATAGAAAGAGGGAATTCCCTGGTGGTCCAGTGGTTAGGACTCCATACTCTCACTGCCTAAGGCCCAGTTTCAATCCCTGGTCGGGAAACTAAGATACAACAAGCCGCGGGGCGCAGCACAGCGGGGTGGAGCGGGGTGGGGGGAAGTACTAGAGAAAGTTAGAAGGAAATGGGAAGGATTATAGAATTTTAGAATTAGAAGGGACCTATGTAATGTATAGCATGGTGACTATAGTTAACAATAGTGTATTTTTTATTTTAAAGTTGCTAAGAGAGATCTTAAAAGTTCTTATCATTAGAAAAAAAATTCCTGTGTGAGGTAATGTATGTTAACTAAACTTATTGTGGCAACCATCTTGCATTATGTACATATATCAAATCACGTTGTATAACTTAAACTAATACAATGTTATATGGCAATTATATCTCAAAAAAACTGGGGGAAAAACAAGTTAAAGAAAAAGGCTTGTCCATCTTAGAGATGAGATGGGACAAAAAGGGAAGAAATATTAAGCACCTGTTATAAACTACGCACTGTGAGACACATTTTACAACTCTAACCCCTCAATATAACTCTATAACACAGATCTTATCAAAGAAACTAAGCTGTTATAATTAAACTTAAGAGTTGCCATGGCTTTTTATCTTATTTTACCAATATTTCAGCAATTGGGAGACAGTTCTAGGCACTGAAGCAGGTGTCTCTATGAAAAGTAATTTCTCTGCCCAGTGACTGGGTTATATTATAGAGTGAAGTTATTTCTTTAGGCAGCAGTAAGAAAAAAGTTTACTTTTGGAAAAATTTTTCTTTTACTTAACGAAGTTTGTGGGTGTCAAGCACAAGTATCACAGGCACAGGGGTTAAGCAGCCACATTTCCGAGAGAAGCTCTTTCTGAGCCACCACCCCCACTCTCCAACTCTTTCCAAAAGGTCTAGTCCTGGGAGTTCCCAGGCAGTCCAGTGGTTATGATTCCGCACTTCCACTGCAGGGGGCACGGGATCCCAAATGCAGCATGGTGCCGCCAAAAAGAAAAATGAAACAAACAAACAAAAGGTCTAGTCCAAGCACTTGCTTAATCAAATGAAGAGTTCAATACATTTTCACTTTTGGGAAACTAAAGTTCAGAGGCATTTAGTATACCAAGTATACAGAGCTAATATGCTAGAACAAGGATCCAAACCCAAGTCTAATTCCAAAGACAATGTTTTTTCTTGTTTTTTTCTACCACCCTTGTGATAGACTTGCCCTGGATCAGTAAGCAAATGGCAGAGCCTTCTACATTCAGTACACTCTCTAATATACTACGAAGGATGCAGACATCAAAGAGGGCTTTTGGTCCCTTGGCAAAAATAATTTAAGCCACCTTATTTTGCACAGGCTTCCCTTGATTTCCTAAGTAGAATGGAATAACATGAGAAATAACTGTGAATGTGGCCAAACCTCATTGGAAGAAAAACATCACTACTTGCAAACTTTACTGTGCACACAAAGGACCACTATTCTTCATAACCACTGAAAGCATCAATTCCTATGCCACATGACATCCACAGGCACAGAGCTGGCTCTTCTGAGCTTCTCTCATAGAATGTTCCAATAGGTCTAGGAGCAAAAGCATGCAGAATACCATATACATATAACATTTAACTTTCACAAATCATTCTCTTCACAATTTTATTTCCTCATTTTAAAAAATACTTTTTATTATAATTTAAAACATATACAAAAACAGCGTAATAGTATAATGAATTCCCACATACGCATCACACAGCTCCAACAACTATCGACCCATAGCTAACCTTGCCCCATCCACTTCCCCCTTTACCAGATTATTTTGAAGCAAGTCCCAGGAATCACATCATTTCATCTGTAAATAACAAGAATTCCTCATCATAAAATATCCAGTTCATATTTCCAGCTATTTTATAAATGTCATATTTTTTAAGATAAAAAAAAACCAGTATCCAAATAAAGGCCATATATTGCAATCGCTGATAGGTCTTGTGAGTTTTTTAATCTACAGATTCCCATCTTTTTTTTCTTACAATTTATTTGTTAAACAATAACATAAATTGTATATGGATACATATATATACATCATTAAATAGAAATAAGGAACACCAAGTTCAGGATAGTGACTACCTCTGGTGGTGGGGAGGGAAGAGGAATGGCAAGGGGGTGTGAGTAGGTTCAATTCTATCTGTAATGTTTTATTTCTTTAAAAAACATTAATAAGAAAAGACCTAAAACAATAAAGCTAGGTGGTGGGTATAACAGTATTCATTACTGTTACATGGTATAACTATAATTTTTATATGCTTGAAATATTTAATAATAAAAACATTTTAAAATTAAGAAGTCAGTGGGGAAAGATACAATGATTATATTCTGAAGTTTCAAATGTCCTCCCTTGTAAAATAGGGACCATCACAGTACCTACCTCATAAGGCTGTTGCAAGAATTAATGAGATCATGAACATCAAAGTACTTAGCATACTACAGGCACAACGTAAAAGTTAAATTAGTAGTGGCTGGTTATTATTTTACCCCACCATCATCATCTCCCTGACCCCTGAAGAGTCAGTCAGTCTTAAGATAAGCACAGTAATGGTAGGAAAAGATTGTTAAACCGATAGGAAACTTCCCCTGGTCCCTGCTTGTTAAGAAATTATTCAGTATGCTCTAATCCCTTCTAATTTAACCCAGCATCTTGTCAACCACACTGTCGCAATAAATTGGTTAAAGATGAGGCCGTATGGACATTTGAAATATCAGGCAAATTCTGCAAATTAACGGTCACTGAAGTGAGACACTGGACTAAAATTCAGAGACCTCTGTATTTCACTTGAAGTCTCTGAACCTCAATACAGATGAGAACACCATTCTGAAAAATGGGGGATAATTAGTCACTGTTAACTTCAAACACAGATTATCATGAGGATCAAATGAGGGGATGTTTATGAAAGCATTCTAAACCTAAAAGCCTTATACTAATGAAAGTTGATATTTAATAAATCTGCAAGGGAGGAAAAATAATCCCGGATAAAACTGAAGTTCTAAAGTGAAGTTCCACAAGACAGCCTTAGTACTTCCCTGTCTGCCATTCCACCATCACCTGCCTTTCTTGGCACTTGCTTTGTAGTGATCTGAAATATGAGGATCTCCTTATTTTTAAAGGAAAAATATTTTCACCATCTCCCAAGTCTATCTCTTAATTCTCTGCTCCCCATCCCTTCTGTGACCCTATTCTGTCCTTCCATGTCTCTCTCACCTGTCCACCCCCCTCTTCACACTTCAGTTTACCACCCCCTCCCTCTGTTCTCTAACCTCCTGGTTGCAACTTCAGAAACTGGCTCCCTTTCTATTTTTATCGTACCTAAGAAAACCTACTGCCTTAAAGCACAAAGCCTTATTTTATTAAGGCCACGAAAACTGCAACACCAGACACAACCCCACATCCCTCTTTCAAGGCTCTAAAGCCAAGACCATTACCAAGCTGGATCTGACAGGTATGGCCAAGGGAAAGGATTATTTCCAAGAGACCGGACTTCCCCAATGACCTTTAATTTCCAACCTTTCCTACATGCAATACATGTGAGACATACAGCACTAAAGGCACTCAGTAGGCTTTATCACTCCATAAAACGGCCATAAAGTTTAATCAAAATCAAACTGAACTGAAATTATCTGAGAATTCTGCAATGCCCTTTGCCGTAAACACTGCAGGACAGAAAAACGACCCAGGACTGGAAATCTCTGCTTGAGGTAACGTTTCGCTTAGATAAGGGTGCCAGGACATCATCCCACATGGGCATAAAGACAAAATACTTCCCAGCTGCAGCAACAGGTTTCTTTTTAAAAAGAAAATGTCTTTTAAATGATTTAGATAGGTTTGCTAAAGCTTGAAGCCTCTAACAAATCCACAGGAAACGAGGTCAGGTTGGGGCAGCAGGAACGCAACTCAATCACTTCCTCTCCGGGGCCCACCCTGCAGTGCCAACTGCCCGCCCTCCAGCCCAGGAAGGAACCGGTGCCGCCTCCAGTCCTACAGCGCTAGGAGGAAGGGGAATCGCAGTTCACCCTTCGTAGGATACGGCTTGTCCGCCCCCAGCTCTCCCTCAGAAGCGCTGCGACACGGCATCGCCCTCGGGGCTGGGCCTTCGCACTTCCCGCCTCCGGCTCCCCTCCTCCCAAAAGACCAAGAGTTCCCGCCTCCCGGGAAAGGCGGGAGAAGCGCGGGGCTTGCTGCCCACCCCTCCCCCAGCAGGAGCAAAAGCGGCCCGCCAGCAGGCCAGCGCAGTGCACCCTCACCCTGCGGATGGCTGCCCACCCCACACCTCAGCTGGACCCGGGCCTCCGCTCCCCCCTGGGGCGGCTCAGCCTCTCCACCCCCCAGCCCCCCGCTCGCAAGGCGCGGCCAGAAAGACCGCGATCTTCTGCCTACCGACACCCTCCCGGCCCCGTGGGGTAGAGGGCAGAAGCACTCCCTCCATCTCCACCTCCAGCCCCCCCGCCCCCCCTGGGTAGGGAGAACGGACCTCACTCCCCCTCTCGGGTAACCAGACGGCCTCCCTTTGCCTCGGCAGGGTGAGGGGCATCTATCGCCCGCCGACGTGGAGGTGGGGGGCAGAGACACTCCCCCCCCCCGACCGCCATCACCTCAGAAACGACAACAAGCCCTTCTCCCGCCAGGGTGAGGGCCTCTCAACCCCTCAACGGGGCGGACGGCTTGCGCGGCCCTCTGCAGAAGCAACAGGCGACCCCATCCCCCTCCCAGCCGAGGAACGCCGACCCCCTCGTCCCTCAGCTGTTCACCTCCAGAAGCCGGGCCCAAGCCTAGGTGAACGACTGCACCTCACTCCGCCCCCTGCGCCATCTTATCGCCCCCTCCCCGACCTCCCCCACCGCGAGGCTGCCGGGCCAGCGCCAGGGGGAGGGCAAACAGGCAGTGATTGGCAGGAAACCGCCCCGCCTCTCAGAAGGTTGTGCCCCGCGCAAGCGCCGCAGCTCCGCCCTCCGCACCGCTTACCCCACCTACTGGCTCCACCCCTTTTCGTCTCATCGACCGGCTCGACTTTTCGCTGCTCCTGACTCTTTCCTGGCTGCTGGTAGGAGGACAAGGGTCCAGGCCGAGCAAGCCGAGCGACGAGTTCAGCTGATGCAACCTAACTGGACCTGCGTGACAGTTCCCGGCACGCGGCGGCGGCGGCGACCGAGAAAGGGGCGCGAGTGCTGGGCTCAGGGTGGGAGACGGAGGGGACAGAGCCATGGGGGACGCTCTGAGCCCTGAAGAGAAGCTGCACCTTATCACCCGGAACCTGCAGGTTGGGCCTCGGGGTTGGAAGTGCGCCGTTGGGGACTGGGGGCCGGAGGTCCAGTGATCCTGAGCCCCGCTACGGGGTCATAAGTGTGTGAGGCCGGGGACTCCGCGCCGAGGCCGCTCTGAGAGAGATTGCAGTCCTCACTGCCCGTCGGTCAGTCCCACAGAAATCACAGTAGGCTCACCTCCAGTGTGCAGTTACTTGTGTTGAGCCAGGCTTCGAATCCAGGGCTCCCACCCCACCCACCCTATTATGTGCCAGGCGCGGTGCTAGGCGCTGGGGGATACGTCGGGCGGACCCTGCCCTCCCAGAGCATGTCTGGAGGAAATCAGACGTTTAAAATGACCCATAATCCAAACATTTAATTACAGTCGAAACAAGTACTGGAAGGTACATTACGCGGAGATCTTTCTTGAAAGGAAGTTTCGAGGGAGGGCCGGGGGCAGTGTCAGGGAAAGCTGAGGAAGTGACCTCTAAACTGCGCCCTGAAGGATGCGGATCACTTCTTCACTCCACATGTGTTCCTGCTGGTTCCAGGCACTGAAGGAGTAGAAGTTAACCAGAATACTGGGGGCTAAAAACGTGTCAGGTAGAAGGAACCCAGGTCAAGATCCAGAGGGAAGAAAGAACCCTGTGGTTCAGAGAGAAGGCTAACTTGGCTGGAGTAGAGGAAGCAAAATGCAGACCAAGCACTAGGAAATATTTATGTTGCTCATTCCCTTGACTCAGGCCTCTACTGTCACGCTGCCTGGAAGGCCTTTCTTGGCCACGTTATTTAAATAACAAACCGCTGCCACCAGAACTGCCACATCCCTTGCTCTGTCTTTTGTTGTTGTTGTTTCTCCATAGAACTTACCACCATCTGACATCCTATACATTTTACGTGTTTGTTTAGGAGGCACAGGCAGGGACCAGGTCATGAAGGCCTTGTAAGCTATGTTTAACATTGGGGTTTTAGAAAGGGCAGTGGTTACATTAGTTAGGCCACAGCTTGCTTTTCTCTTTTTATGAGATACAAGTAACATATCATAAAATCCACCCTTTTAAAGTGTGCAATTCAGTGGTTTTGTTTTGTTTTGTTTTGTTTTTTTGCGGTACACGGGCCTCTCACTGTTGTGACCTCTCCTGCTGCGGAGCAGGCTCCGGACGCGCAGGCCCAGCGGCCATGGCCCACGGGCCCAGCCACTCCACGGCATGTGGGATCCTCCCGGACTGGGGCACGAACCCATGTACCCTGCATCGGCAGGCGGACTCACAACCACTGTGCCACCGGGGAAGCCCAATTCAGTGGGTTTTGATGTAGCAACAGGGTTGTTCAATTATCACCATTATTTAATGCCAGAACATTTTCATCATCAAAAATAACCTGTACCCATTAGCAATCACTGACCATTCCTCCCATCTCCCCAGCCCTAGGGAAACATGAATCTGCTTTCTGTCTCTAATTTGCCTGTTCTAAACATTTCATATAAATGGAATCATAATATGTGGCCTTTTGTGTCTGGCTTATTTCACTTAGCATAATGTTTTCAAGTTTCATCCATGTTGCACTTATCAGAACTCTATTCCTTATGACGGCTGAATAATATTCCATTATATGAATATACTACATTTTGTTTCTGCATTTGTCAGTTGATGGACATTTGGGTTATTTTCACTCATAATTTGATCTTAACCAGAGATTCTTGCATGCTTCCCTTTAGGCAGATCCTTTGTTTCCTAACCTCTCTCCATAAAATAAAGAGAGGTTGGGAAGAAATGGCACACAAAGCTAGTGGCATTGACTTACTCAGGTTTTAAAGGGTAAGTGATATGACCTTTCCTTGAGTAGTGAAAACTCTCCAAGTATCCAAATAGTCAGCGGCTCAGAGGATCAGCCTCCAGCTGGCTTGGAACACAAGATTTTAACAAATCCTACTAATAGGTGATTCAAACCAGCAAAACAATTTTTGTCTTTCATGGCTTCCAACAGCCCCCCACAAACCGTCACCTGAAGAAACACTAAAATCTCTTATCAGCAGCATACTAGCCTATTAGGATTTTTCCAATATTGTCTTAGGGCAAAAGGAAATTATTATTAAAGTATTTAAATAGGTGAATGAGTTAATCAAATTTTGGTTTTTAAAGACCTCTCTGGCTTTCTTTTGGGACATGGATTGGAGAGAACAAGAATAGATATGGGAGACCTGTTAAGAGGCTATTACGGTTATCTTGGTGTGATCTCTAATGATGGCCAAGACTAGGTTGGTGGTGTAGAGGCGGAAAGAAGTAGGAGGACTTAAGAGCTGTTTCACAGTAACTTATGCAACTCAGTGAATGATAGTACCATTTATTGCACTGGGGTGAAACTAAGTGAAAAAGATGGTTGGGGAGTGAGGTAAGAAGGTGAAAGCATGAGTTTAATTTTGCACGTGTTGTGTTTGAATTAACTGGGTTGATAACAAGTACATGTATATAGGTGTGAGCAGGAGATTTGGTAGTTACTAGCTCATAAGTAGTAATTGAAACAACTGAAGAGGATCAGTTAGGGAGAATGTAGAGTAAGAAGAGAAGAGATAGGGCCCCAAGGATTGCTATTATTTAAATGATTAGGAAGAAGAACAGCTGCAAAGAAAATTGAGTCCCAGCAGCCAGAAAAGTAGGAGGAAAACTAAGACAGTAAAATAGAGAAAACCAAAAGAGGAGATTGTTTCGGGGGGAGTGAGGACTAAAAAGTATTCACTGAATTTAGCAACACGGAGGCCATCTGTGATCTTAGCAAGAGCATTTTCAGTGGTGTGATGCTGTGTAGAATTCAGACTAGAAGGGGAGATAAGGAATGGAGAGCAGAATGAGAGACACCTTTCAAGAAATTGGCTGTGAAAGGAAGGAGCATGAGCTAAAAGTAGATGGAGGGGAAGATACGGTTAGAGACATGCTCCATTCCCCTAACATCAGTGTCTGCACTGGAGTGGTACTGGCAAGAGCACCGGCTTCATTTGGCTGTCACTCAGCACTGAGAGCCTGGCTAGACCTCCCTGCTGGCTCTGAGCCTGGACCCTCAGTGAAACATACCTTTGTTTTCCTTGTCACAGGGTAAAGGATGAGCAAGGTGGGGCACTGGCATTAAACCAGCTCTTCTGCTTCCACAACAGGAGGTTCTCGGGGAAGAGAAGGTGAAGGAGATACTGAAGGAGCGGGAACTTAAAGTTTACTGGGGGACAGCAACCACAGGCAAACCACATGTGGCTTACTTTGTGCCTATGTCTAAGATCGCGGACTTCCTGAAAGCAGGATGTGAGGTAAGAACTAATGTTATAAAGCAAGCAGTTGCCCTTGGGCAATGGCCAAAAGAGAGACTTAACAAGACTTACCTCACTTGTTTGGAGGTACTTGGACGAATTCACATTTTGATGGCCCCTTATCTCTTATGCCCAGGTAACAATTCTGTTTGCGGATCTTCACGCGTACCTGGATAACATGAAGGCCCCATGGGAACTTCTAGAACTCCGAACCAGCTATTATGAGAATGTGATCAAGGCAATGCTGGAGAGCATTGGGGTACCCTTGGAGAAGCTCAGGTTCATCAAAGGCACTGATTACCAGCTCAGCAAGTAAGTGCTCAGTCATCCACCCTCCTTGTGGCTCTGGTGCTCCTAGCTAGTTACAGGCCTGGGGAGTCAAGGATTAGAAGTTGTTGGGCTCTACCTGTTAAGAACCATTAAAAATTGTATACACTTTGTCCTTTTAATTCATCCATCAAAAATCTACTGACTAGTAAATGCCTCGGTACCATACTGTTTGCTGGAAATATAAGTGTAACCACAACAAAGTCCTTGGCCTTGCAGACCTCACAGCATATGGGAGAGTGGTGAAAAACTCAGTCTCACTTTCTTCTTCCAGCCTCAGCAAATAATGATAAAAGAAATGTGAAAGAAAAATTTATATTTGTAACATTAACATACATATAATTTTATGTCCTAATTTTTTAATGTACAGTTTCCTAAGTAACTGCCGCCCACTCCCCCTATCCCCTGCCCGCTGCCTCATAGTTTCCACATTCTTTAATTTTTTTAAGCTCTCAAATAAGCCATGTATCACTCTAATGGTCGCTTTTGCATTTAAACCCTTAGAACAACTTTTTAAGGTAAGCATTGTTCTATCCTATTTCACAGATAAGGAAATAGATTCAGATTTAACTTTCCCAAGTTCATGCAGCCAGTAAGTAAAAGGACCATCATGTGAACCCAGATCTTGCTTACAAGTTGATTTCTTTTTTTACTTCATCTAACTTAACTTTCTTTACATTCCCCACTGTTGGACATTTAGAGTTTTAAATAAAGCATATACCTCAGAGATATTGCAGGTTTGGTTCTAAACCACCTCAATAAAGTACATATCACAATAAAGGGGGTCATATGAATATTTTGATTTCCCAGTGCATACAAAAGTTATGTTTACACTATACTGTAGTCTGTTAAGTGTGCAGTAGCATTATGTCTAAAAAAAAAATGTGTGTGCCTTAATTTAAAAATACTTTGTCATGGGCTTACCTTTTGGCATAGTGGTTCGGAATCCACCTGCCAATGCAGGGGACATGGGTTTGAGCCCTGGTCCGGGA